CATACCTGTCAGTATATTGGTACTTGACATGTTCTACTTCTACCTGTCTTTATTTGATGTGTGCTGGCTTCCATTTTTCGTTATAATATCTCAGCTTAACGTTATGTAATTATCTATTGCAGTTAAATCACATCTTCAGGAGTAGAGATCTTATGGTAAAAAATGAAAGAATATTGGCCAAGAATCAAGACTGTTTGGAGGGCAAAGCTGTTGATTATGAATCTTATCTCGATCGTGGGTTTACTCGTCCAAAGGTATATTGCATTGCTTTAATGTAATAAAAATATCCAATATAAATACAATATTAGACAGTTGTCATGATGTTTTCTTCAACCCCTACTTGATCTCCTTTCTGTGGCTGAGGCTACCATGCCTTGATTAGCTGATAAATAAGTAAACTGTGTAAAATTATTTTGCTAAGTAATAGGTATGTTATTGAGAATTACTAAACAGAACTAATCTAAACGTGTAAACAATAAGAACTATAATAATGATTGACAAACTAAATTAGCTTTTGACTAGTTTTGTGCAACAGATTCTAGTTTATTATTATTATTATTATTATTATTATTATTATTATTATTATTATTATTATTATTATTATTATTATTATTATTATTTGCTGTACATGCCCAATCTTGCTTATAGCACAATTTGGCATATATGTGAATCCATTTGCTGCGTGTATCATGTCAATATATTTTATCCATGTTTTGCTTTGATTTCTAGCCATCTCCATTCTTTCTATCACATGCGCCAGATACTATTGCGTCATTTTGCGGATTAACTTGTTCATTTTTTTCCAGGTTTTGATACTTTTGCCACTTGCTGGTATTGCGCGTCGAGTTGTCAAGAGGTTGATCCAGTTGACTCCAACTAAGCATAAGGTAGTCATATTACGACTCTGTTATTTTCCCCAATGTCTACTCATTTTCACTTCATAAAATGTCCCAGGTCATAAGCTTCAGGATTTATTGCTACCATATTCTTATGGATATATCTGTTTGACCACTGTGGAATAATTGATATTAAAATG